AACAGGCTCTCAACACACCCCATGAGTGTCACACACTGACCTTGGGAGAAGGTGCTGGCCAGGATGTCTGGGTCAAGGATTCTCTCAGCATTGAGCTGCTTTTTGTTTTATTTTTGAGGCAGGGTGTTGCTCTTGCCCAGGCTGTAGTGCAGTGGCATGATGACAGCTCACTGTAGCCTCAACCTCCTGGGCTCAAGTGATCCTCCCACCTTGGCTGCAAAGTAGCTGGGACTACAGGTGCGCACCACCACGCCTGGCTAATCTTTAAATTTTTTGTAGAGGGAGAAAATTGCCATGTTGTACAGGCTATCTCAAACTCCTGGGCTCAAGTGACCCTCCTGCCTCAGCCTCCCAAAGCTCTGTGAATACAAGCTTGAGCCACTGTGCCCAGCCTTTTTTTTTTTTTTTTTCTTGAGACAGGGTCTTGCTCTGTCACCCAGGCTGGAGTGCAGTGGTGTGGACACAGCTCACTGTAGCCTCGACCTCCTTGGCTCAAGTGATCTTTCTGCCTCAGGCTCCTGAGTGACTGGGGCCACAGGCACTTGCACCAATGCCCAGCTAAGTTTTTGAATTTTTGTAGATATGAGATCTCACTTTGCTGCCCAGGCTGGCCTTGAACTCCTGGGCTCAAGCCATCTTCTTGGCTTGTCCCCCCGCAAAGTGCTGGGATTACAGGCCTAAGCCACCACGCCCAGCCTTTAAGCTGCTTTGTGACAGAAGTTATCCAAGATTCTACTTGTCAAGCATGTGATTCCTGGGACTCTGATACCTTGTGTCACCATAATTAAAGTAGCCTTTTGTTGGTTCACCATATTCTTTATTATTCTGTTCAAATGAGGAAGGTTTCCATCTGCGTTTCTCACGGGAAAGATGGTCGGCAGTTCCACTCTTCCTTTGCTCTGCTCTCCACCTCTGCCGGGTGGCCTTGGGGGACCCTTTACTGGGTGTCCCACCAGCCCAGCCCCCAGCCTCCTCCTGAGTAGGAGAGCACTGGGAGGCACGCAGGGCTGAAGGAGCACTGTCCATGGAGTGCTTTGTGACAGCAGAGACTTTGGGTCTGCACCAGCTGGTGTGGGAGCCGTGGCCGCCAGGTCCTGTGGAGCACTGGAGTGTGCAGGTGGCTAGTCCACATTAAGAATTTTTAGTTTGTGACCAGGCACGGTGGCTCATGCCTGTAATCCTAGCACTTTGGGAGTTGAGGTGGGTGGATCACTTGAGGTCAAGAGTTCTACACCAGCCTGACCAACATGGTGAAACCCCATCTCTACTAAAAATACAAAAACCATTAGCCAGGCGTGGTGGTCGTGCACGCCTGTAGTCCCAGCTACTTGGGAGGTTGAGGCAGGAGAATCACTTGAACCTGGGAGGCAGAGGTTGCAGTAAGCTGAGATGGTACCACTGCACTCTAACCTGAGTGACAGAGTGGGACTCTGTCTCAAAAAAAAAAAAAAAAAAAGAATTTTTAGTTTGCATACGCCGAAACGTAACTGGTTACATGTGACTGCATATTGGGCATTACTTTTAATGGCAGAAAAACCGCAATTACTTTTACACCAACCTAATAGCCCTAGAATAGCCCTACTGCTTGTGTGAGTTTAGGGTAGAGGATTTGTTTTTTCCGCTTTTAGCAACTGACCTGGAAGCCCAGCCCCGCTTTGTAGCAGTTTCACTGAGGATAAAATGATGCATTTCAAGCACCAGACAAGCAGCCTAAATATAGATCTTTATGATATATTTCAAATTGTGCCTTTGAAATCGTCAGCTGTAACAGTGTAAGTCCTTACGGGTAATTAAATTTGCAGTTGTGAGCTTTATTGCATCATTCATTTTGTGGCTTTTCAGGTCATGGGATTTGGTCTGTACCTGATGGATGGGAGTGTCAGTAACATCTATAAGTTAGATGCCAAGAAAAGAATAAACTTATCCAAAATTGACAAGTACTTCAAGGTGAGTTACATGGTTTTAGATCAATGTTTTTATTGATTTGCATGCAGTTTGAATTTTGGGGAAGTGAGCCCCTGTGTGACCGTGATCTATATCAGGAAATGCTGGGGCTGGGTGGAGTCTGGGCCACGCATGTTCTCCTGTCTGCAGAGGCAACCGCGCTTTCTCTTTCCTTCTGCCCGGTGCTGGTTTTGCCTGGGTGGAGCTTTATACAGATGGAATTGTGCTATTTTACTCTTCTGCGTCCGGCTGCTGTCACCAGCCTCTTGTTTGTTAGGTGCATCCTGGAGGAAGCCCATAGCTATAGCTCATAGCTTTCGGTTGTGGTGTAGTTTTCTATCTTATGACCACACCGTAACTTACCCGTTCCGATGTTGGTGGGCTCTCGGACGTTCCCGGGTTTTGGTGAGTCCAAACGGTGCAGCTCTGGTCGACTCTCCTCTGTTGGGTGCATACCCAGGAGAGGGACCGGAGGTCACAGGGCGTATCTGTTTTCAGTGTTAGTAGTTACCTGTGGCCTGATGACTTTCCAGCATAGCTGTCCTGATCTGCATTCCCATCAGCAGTGAGAGAACGCTCTGGGGGTGCCACATCCTTGTCAGTACTTAGCACTGTCTTTTTTGGGGTTGGGGGACATGCTGAGGATGCGTACATCATTGGGATTGTAATGGCTAGTGTTTCATTGTAGTTTAGTTCATGTTTCCCTAATGGCTTTCCATGTTTTTAGCGCGTTCCCTTTGTGATGTGCCACTTCAAGTCTTTGCTCTTTTTTCCCTATTGATTTATAGTTATTTATATATTCTGGATACACGTCCTTTGTTGGGCACAAGTGAGTATTTTTGTTTGTTTTGTTTTGTTTTTGAGACAGGCTCTTGCTCTCTCATCCAGGCTGGAGTGTAGCAGGCCTTGGTGATTCCTCCCACCTCAGCCTCTCAAGTAGCTGGGACTGCAGGCGCTTGCCATCACACCTGGCTAGTTTTTAAACTTTCAGTAGCAACGAGGTCTCCCTATGTTGCCCAGGCTGGTCTTGAACTCCTGGCCTCAAGCAGTCCTCCAGCCCTAGCCTCTCAAAGTGCCGAGATTACGGGCCTGAGCCACTGCACCTGGCCTTACGTTTTAATGTACATGTATTCTCCCCTAAGAGGCTTACCCTTTCACTTCTTCCCAGCTTTATTGAGGTGTAATTGACAAATAAAAATTGTATATGTTCATGGTGTACAGTGTGATGTTTTGATACACATACACATTGTGAAATGAGGAATTCAAGCTAATTAACATGTCCATCACCTCACACGCCATTTTTTTGTTTTGTGATGAGAACACTTAAGATCTACTCTTTTAGCATATTTTTAAGGATTCAATGCGTCGTTATTAAGCATAGCTCCCGTGCCACAGGTGAGGTCTTCAACACTTACCGATGCTGCGGAACTGAAACTTTATACGCTTTGACCAATATATTCCCTTCCTCCCCCGCCTCCAGTAGCCTTTTCGCATTCTCGACGGTGTCATTTGCTGAACAGAAGTTCATAATTTTAGTGTAGTCCCATATCAGTCTTTTCATTAATGTCCACCTAAATCAGTCTTTGTAGCCATCCAGCTCATGGGACGTTTCTGCTGTGTTAGCTTCTAGAAGCATCCTGTGTCCTTTTTCATGTAGACCTAATCCCCCCGGAACTGACTTCTGCGCGTGGTAGGAGGTAGGGATTTCGCGTCCTGGGATCTGTCTCAGTATGGCTCCCCAGTTGGGCCTGCCTGTGTATTGCAGAGCCCATTGTTCTGCAGTGCTGCTCCTCAGGTCATGAGGCTGCCTGTGGCTCTGCCCAGGTTCTCTGTCCTGTCCGCAAGCCTCCGTCCCTGCTCCAGGGCCACACTGCCTTTATTGCTGTAGCTTTCTAACAGGACTCCTAATCTGGAAGGGTGTGTCTTCCGGTTTTGTCCTTCAAGACAGTCTCAGATACCATCCCTTCACCTTTGGAAATGCATTTTAGAATTGGTTTCCTGATTTACACACACTATCCCCACAAAGCCATTTTTATTCTTATGGAATATTGACTGGGATTGATTATAGATCCGTTTTGAGAGAGCGGACATTTAAAACATTTGAAGCCTTCCTAGGCGCAAACATGATCTATTTCTCTATTTATTGAGAACTTTTTCTAGAATTTTTGGGGTAGTACTTTTTTTTTTTTTTTTTTTGAGACGGAGTCTCGCTCTGTTGTCCGGGCTGGAGTGCAGTGGCGTGAACTCGGCTCACTGCAGCCTCCACCTCCCGGGTTCACGCTATTCTCCTGCCTCAGCCTCCCGAGTAGCTGGGACTACAGGTGCCCGCCACCACGCCTGGCTAATATTTTTTTGTATTTTTTAGTAGGGATGGGGTTTCACCGTGTTAGCCAGGATGGTCTCGATCTCCTGACCTCATGATCCGCCCGCCTCGGCCTCTTGAAGTGCTGGGATTCCAGGCGTGAGCCACAGCGCCCGGCCTGGGGTAGTACTTTTGTTTAGAGGTCTTGCACATTTTTTGTTAGATTCACTCATGCATATTTTTTTTGGATGCTATTGCAAAGTATTTCTCTTTAAGTTTTTGTATTCTAATTGTTGCTAGTATATAGAAATGCAGTTGCCTGGGCACGGTGGCTTATGCCTATAATCCCAGCACTTTGGGAGGCCGAGGCAGGTGGATCACGAAGTCAAGATATCAAGACCAGCCTGGCCAAGATGGTGAAACCCTGTCTCTACTAAAAATAAAAAAAAATCAGCTGTGTGTGGTGGCGCTCGCCTATAGTCCCAGCTTCTCAGGAGGCTGAGGCAGGAGAATTACTTGAATCCTGGAGGTGGAAGTTGCAGTGACCCAAGATGATGCCACTGCACTGCAGCCTGGCGACAGAGTGAGACTCTGTCTCAAAAAAATAAAAATAAAAATAAAAAAATACAGTTGATTTTTTTTTTTTTTAATGACTGTGGATCTAGCAATTTCGTAGGTTAATTTTAACATTTGAATAGTTTTTATAGATCTTGGTTTTTAAATTGTATTTTGTTTCTCTCAAAGCAAATGTAGACGTTGCTTAGAGTTTTTTTGTAGTGAATCATTTGCAGAGGTAGCATTCAAGCCGAAGTGATTATTAGCATTAGTCAGTTTCCTTGTGCTTATGTATTTGGTGACTAAACATACATAATGACCCTATTTTTTTTGTTCTTTGAATACAGCAGCTCCAGGTGGTTCCGCTATTTGGGGACATGCAAATAGAACTGGCAAGATACATCAAGACCAGCGCCCACTACGAGGAAAATAAATCTCGGTAGGAGGAGAGAAAAGCTGCCTGGTTTGAGCTTTCTGCAGTGTCCTCATTGTGCGGTTTTCTTCAGACATCGTGCTTATTTGTCTAGAGATAACACTGTTAACATTCTCAGCCTGGAATTGAATGTCCAGTATTGTTGCCTTTGCCACAGGTGGCTAGTTACATTTAAGTTTATTGAAAAATACAATTGAAATTTTAATTTCCTTATGACAGCCACATTTGAAATGTTTAATAGTTAGTAGCTACTGTGCTGGACAGCACAGATACAGAACATTTTCATCATCCTAGGGTTTCCTGTTGGACAGTGCTGGGGGATAGTCTTTACTTTTAAAAAGGTTGTCTTAAAAAAAAAAAAAGAGGGTGGAGTACGGTGGTTCACGCCTATAATCCCAGCACTTTGGGAGGCTGAGGTGGATGGATCTCTTGAACTCAGGAGTTTGAGACCAGCCTGGGCAACAAGTGAGACCTCGTCTTTATGGAAAAATACAAGAATTAGCCAGGCATGGTGGCACAGGCTTGTAGTCCCAGTTACTCGGGAGGCTGAGGTGGGAGGATCACTTGAGTAGTCTGGGAGGTGGAGGTTGCAGTGAGCCGAGATTGCACCACTGCAGTCCAGCCTGGGCAACAGAGCAAGACCCTGCCTCAGAGAAAAAAAGAAGAAACTGACGGTGTGTCAGCTGTGACATCTGCAGACAATGTGGCCCTAGATCCTAAACTGTGTATCATCTTACTCTGGAGAACTATAAAGATCCTCAGCACAGTTCCAGATGCTGGCAGACACTCCTCCCCACTGCAGACTCTGCAGCCATCAGAGTCTCGGGGGAGGCCTTCACTGACTTGCCAAGCACTGCCCGTAGCCAACCCGCGGTCACCATTCAGCCATGATTTTGACACACGAAGTTGCAGCTCAGTCTCAGGGGCAAGAAACCTTTTCAGTAAAGGACAGACAGCAAATACTTTAGGCTTTACAGGCCACAGGTGGTCTCCATCAGATAATTCTTCTGTGTTGTTTTTTTAACAACCCTTTAAAAATGTAAAAGCCATCTGGCTCCGGCGCCAAACCAGGCATCCTGAGCTGCCCCAGTGCCGCGACTTGCCAGCGCCGCTGCAGGTAACGCAGGTGCCTTCTCCCTACACAGATGGACATGCACATCCTCCGGCAGCAGCCCTCAGTACAACATCTGCGAGCAGATGATCCAGATCCGCGAGGACCACATGCGCTTCATTTCGGAGCTGGCGCGCTACAGCAACAGCGAGGTGGGCCCGCGACCGGAGCCACATGGGCACCCGAGGGTCGCCTGTGTGCGTTTGCACCCAGATCTGAGGTTTAATCGCTTTGAAAAACAGTTTACTACCAGATACAATCATATGTCACATAATGACAGGGACAGGTTCTGACATGTGTCATTAGGCAGTTTCGTCACTGTGGGAACGTCATCGTGTTCTCGTGCTAGCCTGGATGGTACAGCCTGCAGCACACCTGGGCCGCAGGGCACAGCCAGTGGCTCCTGGGCCCCACACCCATGGAGCACGCTGCTATGCTGAAGACTTTGGGTAGTTGTAACACAGTGGTACGTATTTGTGTATCTAAATCTATCTAAACATAGAAAAGGTACAGTGAAAAGATGATGTTACAATCTTATGGGACCACCATTCTGTATGCTGTCATTGATCAAATGTGGTGCATGACTGTACTTCAAAAGCACCTATTACAATTGACAAGGCAGTGAAATTAGTGTTGTCTCTGTTGAGCTGTACAAAAAGCATCTTTTTTTTTTTTTTTCAGAAAAACATAGGGATCCCAAGAGAAAGGACAGAGACCAGATAGTTAATTGATTAAATGGCATTTCCTAGTCTAGTACTGTGATTCCAGCAGCTCGAAAGATGGTTGGAGAAGGGAGGACACTGGGAAAAGACAGGGTGATTCTGACCCAGGGCCCCTTTAAGTCTAGAAAGAAGGAAGTCCTGAGGCCAGAGGTGAGCAGGAACCTGTGGGTGGCTGTCAGGAGACATCCCAGGGGCACTGGGTCCATGTGTCCAGGAGGTGGGCCTGGAGTTGGGCGCAGAGGACACGTGCTTTCTCTTTAGTTCCTTCCAGCTTTGCAGCTGGGTTTGCCACATCGGCATTTTGGTCACTCCCATTCTCCTCACCCAGGTTTGCTCCGAGCCAGCGCTGCTGGCATGTCTGTGCTGCAGATTGCCGGCAGGGACTGCGGGGTTTCAGGGCATACACCCAGGCTGCTTTGCAGTACTGGTTAGTCCCTCAAGGGCCTCAGGAGGACCATTAACCTTAGTGGGGACAACTCTGGGGATGTTGGCCCCACCCACTGCAGGATGATGAGCACCCCTGTCCCCCACCCACCATGGTTACCAGTCATCATGTAACCAAACTGACTGACAAAGAGCCCAGTAGTCCAGGTATCTTGGGGTACCTGCTGCTTCTAACACACACCACTGGCAAGTGTTTGGGCATGTTAGACAAGGAGGCTGTTCTGGGTGAGTCAGTGAGTGGTGAGCAAGTGGGAGGCCTAGGACATTACTGTGCACTGCTGTGGCCTTTATGAACACTGTGTGCTTAGGCTGTGCTAAAGTTTTTTTTTTT